GTGTGCTATCATTCCACAACAGGACTTTGTAGCTGAGGGCATTTCTGGCACATCAACGTGTATTAGTCTGTACCTGAAGGGTCTTTAAAGCATCATAGAAGTGATCGGGCAGCTCTACATTAAAGCATCATACAAGTGATCAGGCAGCTCTACAACCACCCGATCACTTGCATGTGAATGCCGGGTGACAGCAACAGCTGTGACCTTGGTTTTCAACCACTTTAGGACCAGAGTGCTTATATAGGCATTGTGGTCCTGCAGTGGTCAAACCACGACTGGACAAAGCCCAGGAGCCAGGTAGCCAATGCTCCTTAAAAATGCAGCTGGTATACCTGGCACCATACAGGATGTAATATTCTTATATGATTTATACCTTTCAGACCAGCACACATCCACCATAACCCGATGCTGCTTTGACCCCGAGAGCCAGAGGATTTGTTCAGTGTCATCAGACAGAGCCGTAAAACTATGGGATGTGATCGCCCAGCGTACCACCCTCAAAATAAACGGGTAAGAAGACATATGGGCAAAAAAAAAAAATTATGGTATTTTGTGTAGGATTTTCCACTCCAATAAGAAACAGTTTCTGCTGCAGTTATGATGTGCATGTTCTGTTGGCTAGTGAGGCTGCCTGTCATATTATGGGTGAAGAGGAATGTAGGGGAACAGGAAGTAGCGTTGGGATAAGGACTACCCAGAAGTGTCGGAGCTTTGCCTGTCAGAATCAGGGCCGGATTTACTCTCTCTGCTGCCCCAAGGCCAGGTTCTTCAATGCACCCCCCTTACCCGCCAACTCCCCCTCCCCTCCTTCCCCCCCATGGACAATGGCAGACCTGCAGGCTGCATACAAGTGATCTCGGCGACATCGCAGAGATCACTTGTATAAAACAAGCGGCGGCTTCCCCGCTGTACATTTAGTTCTGCTTACCCAAAGCAGGGCTAAATGTAGAAAACAGCTACCATCGGGAGATGGGAATTCCACACCCCTGCTGCCCCTCTACTCCGTGCTGCCCCGAGGCCGAGCCTCGGTTGGCCTTGTGGGAAATCCGGCCATGGTCAGAATGGCCGGAAATTGTCCCTAACAAGGTTAGGAAGGCTGCTAGAGGTACTCGGAAGTGCCGCCATTTGCAGCAGTTTCTGTATTGACCTCTACCTGATAGCTGCTGAGATAAGCTCAGTTTTAGAGTCCAGTGTTCCTACCCCTGTCAGACCTGACCCAGTCATAGAGACAGGGGGAAGTAAAACACAATCGAGGAGCAGAGCTGCATACGGAATGCACTAATATGACTTCCTCAATGTACATCTACAATGATACATTTTTATAGAAGCCCTGACATCACAGGTCCTCTTCCTTTTCTTTTGCAGGTGGGGGGTCCTGAACGCCGCAGAGACCATTCTTTGCAAAATTCTCACCGTGAGCTTGGGCTGGCCCTGCTCGTATACCCCCAGGGGGCGTGTCCATGACACTCTGGGCTCAAAGGAAGTGGAAGGACTGATGCAGGCTCGGTGACAGTGAGCACTGGAACAAAACAGTTTGTTTCTATTTTCACTAGTCCTGGGCTATTTATTAATATTATCTGGAGTTGGGCGCCTCTGGGGTCCCAGTGCAGGGATCTGAGTTCCTGCCACTGGTTAGGCTGTAATAGGCTGATAATGACACGTCGGGAAGATTACAATTACCGCCAGCCTAAGTCACTTCTCCTTATTTTCCTGATTGGTGATTCAGAGCGCGTTGTCTTGTCCTGGATTATCTAGATCAGTGGTTCTCAACCTGTCTAACCTCAAGACCCACATTTGTCGTCGGTCATTAAGTCGCGACCCACGTTGCACTGCAATGGAACACACGGCAATGTGGGCTGCTGTGCTGTAATGGAGCTCCATCCATATGTGCATTGCTTGTACAGTTCCCATGCGCACCCCGTAGCGGTGCTGGAAGCCAGAATGTGATGTCACTCCAGTCCAGGCACCGCTACAGGACATGCGAGGGAGCTATAAGCAATGCATGTATGGATGGAGCTCCCTGGCAGCCATACCACCAGTGCACCCCACCTCAAGCTGACACTCAGTGCCAGGCAGCATATTCTGAATGGCTGCTCAGTGCGAGAACTGATATTGCTGCACTAGAAGGAGGCTGAGAAGCCTCTCGCCAAGAAAAGTGGAAGTCATGCGGCGACCCACTGAACACGTGGTCACGACCCACCAGTTGAGAACCAAGGCTCTATAGGACTGTATGGAAAGATCAGGCCGGTGACACTGGTAGCTTGGCTGAAACGCCATTCTTGGAATCTCACAGCATTGCAAGGGGGAAAAAAAAGATCAATAGCAGTAAAAACAGTAAAATTAAACTTTCTTCAAACTAGAAAAATGAAAGAGTTCCGTTGAGGTCTCTATAAGAGCTCCAAACACATGATAATCCAGGAAGTCTTTATTAATTATCTCGTAGGGCGCACGGCAACGTTATTTCAGACTGCGGCTTCAGTAACAACGGACGCCTAATCTGCACGGCCTCCTGGGATAAGAGTATAAAACTCTGGGATGTGAACGGCGGAGAGTACCGCCGCCGAGCACCAGATACCCTCCACGCACACAGCGGATCTGTCAGCTCCTGTGCATTTTCGGAAGACGGTGAGTGAAGCAAGTCATTTTGCTCCAAGCAATTTTATATCATTGACTGCACTGCGCAGAGATTGTCAAGGATGCTTTAGCTTTTCCATGAGCAACTACACCCAAACCCCCCCCAAAAAAAAAACCTTATTGCTCATTTGACCAATACCAAAGCAAGTGCAAAGTGCAGTAACCATAGCAACCGGTAACATTTCCCCTTTTTAGGATGTGGCTAAACCAGGGGTAGCAAACCTCCGGCCCTCCGGCTGTGGGTGAAACTACAAATCCCATGATGCATCTCTCTCCGGGAGTCGTGACTGTGAGAATCTTGCAATGCCTCATGGGATTTGTAGTTCCACCACAGCTGGAGGGCCGGAGTTTGGCTACCCCTGGGCTAAAGGCTATTGCTCTTTCCTTGGGCAGGTGTGAACGTAGACCTTTATTAGCCAATCACTGACTGTTTCTTGCTGTCTCCTGTTTCTTCTTAGGCTCCACCCTGGTATCCGGGGGATACGACAGAACCATCGTTGTGTGGGATGTGAATTCGGCGTGCAAGAAGCTCGTCCTTAAGGTATTTATGAGGTTTAAAAGTGGAAATGCCAGATTTAGGCATATTGCACCATTTTATACTTAAAGTGCATGTCTACTTTTAACTAAACTTCTGACAACCCCCTCCACCACTGCGTATACTGCGGCCCTTGTTTAGTTCAGATTTGTAGAGGATTTCATTGGTCAGGCTGTGTACACAGGGGAGGCTGCAACAGCACTATGGAGGTAAGTCGGCAGCTGGGGTAGGTTTGGAGGGGAGGGGATGGTGTGTTAGTGCAATGAACTTTAAGGGGGGCAGTTAAGGGTAGACTTGTCCTTTCACAAACTTCCTATCCAATCAGCACTTTCATCAGTTTATCATATTTAAAGTAAATCTAAAGACAGTTGTTTTTTTTTTTGCTGTTTGTGTCTCGTTGAGGAGATTTCACTTTACTTCCTGTCCTAAAGACACCACAGGAAGTGAATCAAATGAGAAGAAATCTCCTCTTAGTGGTCATCAAAACAGTTGTTCCCATTGAGAGGTATCCCTTCTGTTCTGGTGCTGAGTCAGAGGCCTCCCGAGGCGGAGTGACACCCGGTGCGGATACCACCCCGCAGTGACGTCATCGTGTCACGCGAGGCACCGCTGTCACCTGCCGGCGGCCATCTTGGTGATGGACGCCGGCAGAGAGAGGAGGGGACGTCACCCGGTGGGATAAGGTATGCAGATTATGATACGAAGTGCAGAGAGCAAACCAAATGTCACCCAGTCAGGGATTTCATCTACTGTAATGGAATTTTTTTTTTTTTCGAAACCCGTGGAACGTGCGTCTAAACAAACTTCCCCTGTGAACAAAAAAAGTGAACCGTGAAATCACAGCACACAAAAACGTGCACAAGGGTGCAAGGTCCTTCCAAAGAAGGGACCTACTTCCCGACCCCCCGGGGCGCAGGGCTCCTGACAGGGGTTGAGATACTTTGGACCACCAACCCAAAGGCCGATGGTCCATTTCCTTTGGGGACCTGCCGAAACAGGTCCCCCATAGTACTTGGCAAGGGGGCTCTCCCGAAGAGAGACCCCCTTCCTGGGTGGGAGGAGACAGAGAACCCCCTACGAGGCACAGAATCTCCTCCCAGCGTCAGGAATAGGCCCCGAAGAAACCTGCACCATCAGCATCTGTAGGTCAAATGTAAAAATAAAAAAGTGCCAAACGTGCATATAGTGCATAAATAAATCTAAAGTGCCAGTGCACCACGCTGACAGGCTGGAATTATACACGCAATGATCATACATGACATGACATTTCTAAGCTGAGTCGCTCTCTGGTCTCTGTACAGGGTCACACGGATTGGGTGCTGGACGTGGCGATGAGCACCAATCAGAAATGGATTCTGTCTGCGTCAAAGGTGAGGCACCTTGTAGCTGCGCTCTGTCACCTATGTAAAGGGGAACTGCTCGGTATGTTGAGTCAGTGTAGACACATGGCGCACTGTGTCTATGTGAGGGTTCTGGCTGCACTTCTTCTGTAACCAGAAACACTCTCTGAATATTTATCATATTTCAGTCATGGAGGCTCGGCTCCACATATGGGGAGATATTCACATCTAAGGTGGTCTGCATGCAAATTCAGCCTGATTAGGAACCCCCCACTTCTCCGGACTGACACCCAGCCATCAAGGCATTTTGATATTTGCATAACTCCTCCCACGAGCCAGCCCACCGCATGCATGCAAATACAGCCTTCCGAGGAACGCCCACTTCTCCGGACTGACACCCAGCCATCAAGGCATTTTATATATTTGCATAACTCCTCCCACGAGCCAGCCCACCGCATGCATGCAAATACAGCCTTCCGAGGAACGCCCACTTCTCCAGACTGACACCCAGCCATCAAGGCATTTTGATATTTGCATAACTCCTCCCACTGCTTGCATCAGGGCTGAGGGCTCTTGAGACAAATACTGAATCGGTACAAAACACAAAAATTCCCCAGCCCCAACCTGCCAGCCAGCCTGCAACCAAACAAGTAGCCCTGTCTACAGTATGCGTTAAAAACAGAGGTTTTAGTTGCACAAACTTTTGGCCAAAAATATGTAGAAGCCGCACTGCCGCGCCAAGGCACCTCTGCAAAGTGTGGTCCTAACTCTATGTATCTGAGTCTCCAAGTGTGAGCATATTAATGAAGTCGATAGATTGCATGCAGGTGTACCTGGAGGTAGCCAACTCCTCCTAATAAGGTGCAGGGACGCACTGGGGGCCCAGCAACTAAAAATGCACGCTGGGACCCCAGTGCATCCCCCTAACCAAAAATAGTCAAACTAGAAAAAAGTGGTACATGCATGAATCCATGACCAGCCTTTATAGCAGGGAGCACAATGGGAAGGCTTACAACAATACAAAACACAAAAATTCCCCAGCCCCAACCTGCCAGCCAGCCTGCAACCAAACAAGTAGCCCTGTCAACAGTATGCGTTAAAATCAGAGGTTTTAGTTGCACAAACTTTTGGCCAAAAATATGTAGAAGCCACACTGCCGC